TTACACAATTTCTTTATTCATTTATTTACAGGACTACATTCGTTGAGAACTATGCTACACGATGTACTATTATGCCCTTTATTCGAACACTGTATTTACCTTTCTTTGATGATTTGTATATAATTTAACAGTGTTAACGGCTATCTTGATTTATATATATATATATATATATATATATATATATATATATACATAAATGTACACATATATATACACACACACATATACAATTTGAGATTCAATGTATGTTTAATTTTCTAATGACTCAAGTTACTGCATGACCGTTTTTATATTTTAAAATAGAAACAATTTACTCTAATTTTAGATACATTTTCCCCTGAATTTGTGATAATTCATTATCGCGCATAGACTTGTGCATGCTAAAATGCGTGAAAAATTTATGATCACGCATGTGTTTCTGCAAAATGTGTGTTTCATTCAAAAATCCCTTTAAAATGCAGGACGTCCGGCATGCGAGATTGTTGGTAAATATGGATTCGAAATAGACGAGGTCGAAGGAGGGACTTCCACTTCACAGCTTGAGGGTTTTGACCACCTCAGCTTTCTTCCCCGAATCCACCACTGGTAGTCAGAGCTACAAACACAAACAAACTACAAACTAGGTGATAAGACCAAAATATTGGCATATGAAATATAATATCAGTGTAATGTCCGTATTTGATTTTGACAATTTTTTTTTCCCTTTAAAAATTGCAATGCTTTTTTGTTTTTTCAGCCACTCTAATGATATCAGTGGGCACGGATCCCATTATGCCTGGCAATGATGTCAAACTCACATGCATCAGTTCTGGTTCAGTGGCTACGTTTGTGTGGCAGCACAATGGTGGACTTATAGCACTTGGTACTATCATCCAGAACCCAGCACGCTTTATGATTGCCAATATGGATAAACAGAGTGATCTAACAATAATAGGCTTTGAAAATGACTTAGACGGGACCTGGGAGTGTCACAATTTTGGTATAGAATCGACTAGCATCTCCCTATCTGTAGATGAAGGTATGGATATTTTGGATAGCAAAAGTTTATTGGATCATTTCATAACATTTCTATCATGAGGGAAAAATTTGTTTTATTGGATGTCTTAGCGTTATCCTAAAATATCTCTATTCAAAACGATTTCTTAGAGTAATTAGTCGAGACTTTTTTTTTATACGTTTAGCGAACCATCGGACACTAAATTGTTAATTTTTATTTGGGAATCAACAGGGATCATCTTTTGGTCTGGTCTAGACAAAATAGAATTTGTTTTACCAATATTTAAAATGGGTTTGTTGGCCTTAAACCATTGATTGATTTTTTTTATATAATTCAGTTTTTAATGTATTAATGAGATTAAGGCTTTTATTGCATAAGAAGAAAACGGTATTATCCGCTAAGAAAGTCACATTTAAAATATCACTTACTCTAAAAATATAATTTATATAGATAATAACTAAAAACCCAGGATGAATCCCTGCGACACTGGGACGCATTTAACATTTTTGTACTTACTTATTGGACAGCATCATGCATTTCTGCACTTACTTCATGACTTGCGAGAAATTTCCACATCTTTCGGTCCTGTGCTCCAACCTCTGCTTCCTCCACATTCCACCTATACCCGAGTCTGTCAAGATCCCGTTTTATAACATTTTTCTATGTGATTTTACATTTTATAACATTTTTCTATGTGATTTTACATTTTTGTAGTTGTGATTAAATATCATCCATATTTGTACAAATTCTTTTCGTTCACTTATCACCAATTCCCCGGATACCATAGTATTTTTTTAACAGTATTATCGTGGTTCATAACTTCGAAAGCTTTTGATAGGTCCATAAATATACTAATAAAAAGTTGTTTATTTTCGAAATGACATTATTTTTGTTATACTGGGAGGATTGATATTGGTCTATCTTCGGATATTTTATGACTTTACCTTTCTTACAAATTGGGATTACTCTCGATAATTTTTAAGTTTGTTAGGCATATACCAGACACAAACTTAAGATTTTACTAATAATAATAATTATAATATTACAAATACATAATTTTAATTGAGCAAATATATTTTATAGTAGATTTTTAAAGGTATTATGTATTTTAGTATTATATTTAAGGGAAACCACTTGATAGTTTAGTTCGCTTTTTAGTTTTCCTCTCCCTTTTAATTTGTTTTGACTCAATTTTTTGTTTGGGTTTGTTCTTCTGTGTTAATGTTTTGTATATCGTATGTTTGTATGAGAGAAATAAATGAAATGAAATAAAGTGAGCAATTAGTCATGTGTGTAAGTGGGATAACTTGGCCTATCTTATCTGTAATGGCTTTGATAACTCACGAGGTAATATCGTAGTCTAGACGTTTACTCTTCTAAATGCACAATTGCTGGCTGACATACCAGATGACACGGAACAAGGGGTGTTGCGTTATGGAGAGTAATGTGTGACTGGAAATGGTCTGCCATTTTGTTGTTACCATGCGCCAGTGATGTTGGAGTACAGCAAGATGAAACTATTTATGTAATGCATGAATAAAGTTCGGGGTTTGTCAGGTAGTAAAATGATTATTGTACATTTTAACTGCTCCCTCCAAGCATAAATGTAAGCTAAATTACGGTGATTAATGAGCGAAGATATGGTGACAACTATTACGAAGTTCCCTCTTTTCAAGAGGGGATGCAAATGCTTTGTGAAAATGAGTATGCGGCGGCCTGCGGTACTCATTTTCACAAAGGAATACACTCAGCTGGTTAGCTAA